AAGGCCGGATCATTTGTTGCATTAGCGCTTAGTAATTTCAGTGTGCAAGGTGTATGCGTTCCGCGTAAAGAAAATCACATATTTTTCTATGCCATTAAAGAGATATCATACAGAGCCCATAAAATTTTGCAATGGATGCGGACCATGTTGATCATTTCAAGAGAAGCAGTGGTAAACGGCCAGGTACGATGCTGTGTGAATTGACATTTCGCGGTTTTAAAAGTCTCATAATTAGAAACTTTTAAAAACCTAATTATACTCCTTCCTTAAGTATATAAAATAAAGAAGACGTTATTCTCTATTGATCGACCAAAATAAAGCATATTTTGCAAGACCATCGAAAATCAATGCTACATAAGTAGTCCTTTTTGTATGAAGTACGCTTTCTACAGGAGATTAAAAAGAAGTGCATTTAAAAGCCGACATCCTGCCAAGTCCGAAATGTTATACGAGTATGCCGCAAGGAAGTCAGTATTACAACCGCGACCAAGTAATCCTTCCTAATCGAAAACTCATTTCAGAATTTCAGCCAACATTTCATGAGCTAGGTCACTCACTGTACACAGTGCACGTGTAGATATGCATAATAGAAAACATACGTCTACTTGTTGTTGGCATGGGTACTGTCGAATACTTACATTTCATTGTGGAAGGAGCCTCCTTTTTAGTGTGTTTGTGGCCTTGGTTTGGGCGCTGAGCGTTACTAACAGCGTTGCGGTTAGACAGCAGCACTGACCAAAAAGTATAAACTCACGGATGAGTCGCTGACACCTCGGTCTCTGGTGTTTAACACCTGCTTCAGACCCATTTTCACTGGCTTCTCCCCCAAGTTTGTGCGTTTTTTAATTATTCATAGAAATTATCATGTTATGCCTTGTTTGGCGTACTTGTTCCTATAGCCACGCGCTAGCAGAATTTGTTTACAAGCTTTGGTTTAAATTATCGTTTGACTGTTTACATGGGACAAGTGACACTGAGTGTCAGATCGAAAAATGGAATATCTCCAAAGTTTTCTTTTATTCGAGTATATTCCTGTCTAACTGGTAGCCTGACAAGGCTTATTGCATCAAGAAGGCAAACCGTTCCTTAAGTTTATGGTTACTGGGGATGATATTTGGTGCCTATAATTAAAACATGAAGTCTAAGATAGAATAGTAAACCCATAACAAGGAAGCGACACTCCGCACCGCCGGATAATGTCTACTGCTTGGTGGGCTATGGAGGAATTTATCTATGGTTGGGTATGACTGGCTGGCGACGGTTAATAGGCCAAAACTGACTATTCCAGTCTCCCTTGTCATTGTCAGTAGTGCTATTTACCTGTATCATACGCCGCGGTCAGGATGCTGGTTTGAATCGAGAATGAGTCCGTAAGGCACAACATGTCGAGTGAGTTCTCAAAGAGCGATCGGTGAGCGTCCCTCAACCATTATACATTCCTGACCGAAACCGACAGGCTAACGAGCCCGTGGCTCAGTGGCTAGGGGTGATGGACGTCTAACTAACAGGTCTCGGGATCGAGCCCAGGGAGTTCCACATACGGGGTTGGGTATTATTGGCTGACGACTGCTAGTGGGCCAAAATGGCCATTCAAATCCCCCTTATCTTTGTCAGTAAGGGATTTATTTATCGTAAATTGCCTGAAAAGCATCAGACCACTAATGCAGAGTCTTGTGGCAGATAGCTTTGCAGTCTGCATAATTGACTACAGCAAAAACCATCACATAATCGAAATGGTGTCGTTTTGCAACTTGCAAAACCAGGTCACACGCGGTAAAAGTAAGCAAAAATGCCATTTAAGAAATTGGCTTCGTCATCGGATACGCGTCCTCCTGTGTCACTCGAAAAGAATGTTACAAGAATACTCGTAGATCTTTCCTCCAAATTTAAAGTACGATCTGAGAAGTACTTTAGAAGTTGAAGGACATGGGCATGTCCTAGGCAATTCTCCGTTTCATTGTATTTGCTTTGTAGAAGTAGATCGATGGTCTCGACAGCCAGATCCTGCAGGTTATAAGTAAAGAGAGAGGTGACATCAAAAGGTACCATGACCCCAGTTGTGTTGGCGAACAGACCGTGGTGGTTGTATTGGCGGACAGAAATTTGAGACGATAAAACAACCATTTCGGCAGTCCGTACGTTGGAGCGCCTTTGAGCGATACAATGGGTCGGAGAGAGCGACGTCCTCGTGCATCTTGGAAGGGCATAGAACTGGGTCAAGATCGTTTTTGGGCTCTCGTCATGCGTCAGTCGGCGTCACTGGACCCGATTTCTACAGTACCATCTCCAGCAATCATCCTGTTTCAGCGATCGTTTCTGCCTTTTGACAGAATGTTATAACGTAAATGTTATTCCATTTTCACATTGATTTTTCGGGATCTTATAACGTCAAATATATTTTGTGGAAAGCAGGCATAAAAATATGATTTCGCTCACTCTTTTGGTTGAAGATCATGTCTTTTTCACATTTGATACTGGATGAAAGGATATATTTATTTTTTGAAAACATTTTCAAATTCCTGATTAATTTCCAACCAGATCAGCCGTTGCACGAGCGTCTATCGGTTTCACTCCACAAGGTGCATACTATTTGGGTAAAGAAAATCAGGTATTCCTCCGTGCCTTGAAGTACATACCACATAGAGTGCGAAAAGTTTGTGACGGATGCTGACTGTGTGGTGTACTTAATTAACAGCGTAAATAAGCAGATAGGTGTGATACTGCACTACACACACTTGAAAAGTCTCAGTCTTTAAAACAGTTTAACGCAGGTAGGTTCTCCGTCTTTGAATACGAAAGATAAGAAGGCTTTATCTACCAGCAGGTGAGTAAAGGTAAGCATGCTTTTATGTATGTTCCATATAAAACATATTTTAATTCATAAGAACACCAGGAACAACTGTAAAAAATATTGCTATTTAGGTGGTCACATTTTCCCTAGCATGCTTTTTACAGAAGACCGAAGAGAAGTGTATTCAAGAGCTAACATCCTGCCCGAGTGTTAGTTACTATTACAGCTCTGCCTAAGTAGTCCTTCCTAGTTTAACACGTATTTCAGAATTTCGGCTAACATTTTTCGACTGTGTGATTTTGCTTACTGAAAATATGCAGCTTGTATTTTCAAAGCCCTTAACCTACGTGTAATGGCAGATCGAGTTCAGTATTATTCCAGTGTGGAATAATACTTTAAAACCGAATTTTACGGATCCCTTAAACCTAAAAATAGAGGTGAAGAAACTTACTGTTCAAGGAGCAATGGACAATGTGCAATGTTAACAGAGCAAAGTGGGTGTGTGTATTTTCTATTAAATACATGTTGACGCATAAGGACATCGGTAATTAGTTAATAGAAGTCGTGCAAATAAGTAGTCATTTCTTCCGGAGTGTCGCTTTTCCTGACCACCAAAAAGCGCTGCATCCTGATAGGACCAAAATATAGCGGGTTTCTCCTGCAAGGTTATTATCGTTACAACACTACCTTAGGGGTCTATTCGAATTGAAAACACATTCCTGAATTCCGGTTAACATTTCATGATAAAGCACATCACCTGTGGGCGGCATTGAATTGTTTTCATTTGGTCAAAATTCGGATTGTCTTACAAGACGCATAAGATAACATTGTTCCGGTGTCTACATCAAGGCTGAACTGAGGCTTACCTGGTTGAGAGCAGCCAATGGCGCCACGGCTACGTATCGCTAAAACGTTGCAGCTTAGTACACTATCGAAAACTTGCGATTACACATGCGATGCCCATAAGGTCAGCATATATCAGTATGTAAGCGACGGAAGTGTTTCAAAAATCCAAAGGAACAAATTAGCGCGGGAACAGCCCGCCATAACGGCCACCTACGAGCGTCCGATACGTAACTGCAGATGGGAATATGGTTGTTATCGAAGTTGAATGGTTGCGAGCAGAGAATGATGACAAGGCAAATCATAAAAAGTGCAATAGAATTTAAACTGATGTTAGCGCCTTTCATATGTTTAAACGTATCAGCGAGTAAAAACTGTGTAGTAATTTACGAGCAGAATACATGGCAATGTCTACTTAACCTCTGCAGTGTGGGGAATTATTATTGGCTGCGATCGTGAGCTGATAAATTAGTTAAGACGTTCTCCATTAAATAGGCCGAATCTTTGGTGCTTAATTTTTGGGAGTAGTCAGGTTATTACCTAATTCGTGATGCCTTGTCGTAGAAAGGTAATGTTCTGATGAACTAACGAGTTATATCTCACGAGCCCCTAGCCTTATATGCAGCAAATAAAACTGAGCATTGAATAATATAGAGATTTTGAACGTTAAGAAAACTTGACAATAAAGCACGACGGTGGAGCACGCTAGCAAGGCGGGTTTTACAGGTGTGTCGTTTTTCGTCGCATTCAAACAAACAATCCGGTCAAAGAAAATGGGACTAAATTGTCAAAGGTAAATTAGCCCGGCACCTTACCACAGTACCCCCTGCTAGACAGGAGGGTGACGTAATACGGCGCCGGAGGATATGCATAAGTCTAAAAAAATGCGTAACTAAACGATTAGGAAAATGAACGTGACGGCCACTGCGATTGATATAAGCAGTAGGTACAGTCGAGGAGGGTTGAATGCGTGCTGTGGTGGAGGATGATGTTGTAGTTGGAGGCTGTAGACATGTAGGAAGAAGACGTATGCGGGATGGTGGGGTAGAGGGCAAGGAAGTGGAAGGACGAGGCAGTGGGCAGGGTGAATGAGCAGGAGATAGGGAAGACGGAAGAACAGGGGTTAGGGGGTCAGCACGTTTTTGTCCTTGGGACACGTCCGGCGGCTCCTCTGCAACAGCAGCCTTGACCCGATCGACACTGACCAAGCCCTCCTCGTCACCGCGAAGAATCCGGCGGGTCTTAGCGTTACGCGCGAGCACGCGGAACGGTCCTCCGTATGGTGATTCCAGCGGCTGACGCACACGGTCACATCAGACGAACACATGAGTACAGCTATGCAAGTCTTTTTCGACATAAGACTCAGTCATTGGAGTTCGAGGTGAAACCGGAGCCGAAAGGTAGTTCCGAAAACCAATTCAGCTGCGCTACAGCCGAGATCCGACTTCAGAGCTGCGTGGATGCCGAGGACTGCAAGAGGAAGGTTGTCCGACCAGTTTCCTGGGTCTTCTACGGCGCGCAGGGCGGTCTTTAGTTTACGATGAAAACGTTCAACCATACCGTTGGTAGCCGGGCTGTAGGCTGTCGTCCGAATGCGTCTGCAGCCAAGGAAATTGAGTAGCGTTTGGAAGAGTGCCAACTCAATCTGGGCACTACGATCGGTCGTAACCATGGATGGGGCACCGAACATGGCGACCCAACGACTGAGAAAGGCCTCCACGATTGCTTCAGCCTGCACACTCGGTAAAGGATTAGCTTCAGCCCAGCGGGTATATCAACCAACACAGACAAGAAGGTGGGTGGAACCTTTGGATGGAGGCAACGGCCCTACGACATCCACGAGCACATGGCTGAACCGTGCGTCAGGACTGGGGAAAGTGCCTGGTGGGGACTTGTTGTGACGTTGCCCCTTGTTGCGCTGGCAGCTCAGACACGACCGGGCCCAAGCTTTGACGTCCTTTTCATGTCAGGCCAGACACAACTTTCCGTGAGGGGCTCTTGAGAGGCTCGGATCATGGGTGGGAGATTCCATGCAGAGTTTGAAATACAGCTCGACGCATAGAGGCGGGCACGATAGGACGATGAAAGCGAGTTGAGATGTCACAAAGTATGGTACCAGAGCCGGTGGTCAGAGGAACGTCTTGGAGTTGGACACCTCCGACAGTTCGAAAATCGATTTCGATGATCTCCACCGTGTGCCCCATAGCTGCAGCAGCGGTGGGAGCAGGGACGGTGACTTGCGCAGGGGTTTATAGTGCTGGTAGACTTGTGCTGCATCTACCTACATTCTCACCTCCTCCTTCGCCCTAACCCGGTGTCAAGACAGAGTCCCGAAGACCGGAGACGAGGAAGGCCGCAGCTGGATGGCTCGGACGGATCCTCAACTTCGAGTTCCACCACACCCCCTGGTCCACACAACAAATAACCAGGAGTTCAACCAACACAACCGAGATTGGAGGCTGGCACGGCCGAAGCCGCACCTAGGCGTGCCGCCAGCGCTTGGCTCGGATCCCACACTGTGGTGGGAGATCCATAGAGGCCACATACGAGTCCTGCTCCGATGCTATCGTCCGCCTTAAGTCTAGCCGACACAACGGTGGGTTTCGCACCCGTTAAGTCAGAGGACTGCTGGGAGCTCAACGACGGTGCCTTATCCGAAGGTTCTGGGGCTCGGATGGGTTCCTTAGTTGGACAACACTAACAGACTCGACGCCAGGACAACCGACTCGCTGTTGTTCAACCTCCATGGCACAAAGATCGATCCCGTGTGCGAGTTGGAGGGAAGACAGTGACGGTCTGGACAGCATATCAGCCACCTCATTATTCATGCCATCAATGTGGCGGATGTCGGTAGTGAATTGGGAGATGTAGTTCTGGTGGGCGATTTCCCTCGGATTGCACTTGTCGGAGTGGGAACGAAGTGCAAAAGTCAACGGTTTGTGGTCAGTGACAAAAGTAAAGTCTCGACCTTCAAGGAGATGCCGGAAATGCTTCATAGCCAGGTAAATGGCAAGTAGTTCACGGCCAATGGTACTGTAGCGTGTCTCAGCTGGTAAGAGCTTTTTGGAAAAAAAAGACAAGTGGTTGATTCGAACCAGCAAGGTGTTGTTGAAGGACTGCACCTACGGCTACGGTCGAAGCATCTACCATCAGAGACAGCTGAGCTTCGGGAGCGGGATGCGTGAGTAAGTTGGCATCGGCAAGGGAATTCTCGATTCTCTCTAAAGCAGTCAGTGCTTCAACAGTTAGCTCGAGGGAACCTTTTGGACCAGAAAGCATGTTGGTGAGAGGCCGCATGAGGTCAGCACAGTTCGGTAGGAACCGGCGGTAAAAATGGACCATGCCGAGGAATCGCTGTAACTGTCGCTTGGAAGTTGGAGGAGGAAAAGTACGAACTGCATCAACTTTGGAGGGGAGGGTACGCAAACCTTCAGAGTCGACCTGATGGCCGAGGAACTCGAGTGAAGGCACACCCAACACGCATTTGGAGGGGTTGATGACAACGCCAAACTTGTCAAGGCGGTCAAGCACCAAGGTAAGATGCTCTTTGTGTTCTTCCTCATTCCGGCTGGCCACCAAGAGGTCAACAATGTACGCGTACACAGGGGGTAGGCCACGTAGGACATGGTCGATTAAACTCTGGAGCGTTTGGGCTGCATTACGAAGACCGAATAGCATGCGGATGAACTCAGAGAGACCGAAGGGTGTGGTGACGGCGGTTTTAGGGATGTACTCAGGGGCGACTGGAATCTGATGAAAAGCACGCACCAGACCAATCTTCGCGAAAACCGCTTCGCCGAAAAGGGCTCCAGCAACGTCCTGAAGATGGGGCACGGGGTACCGATGAGGGATGGTAGCGCTGTTGAGGGCTCGATAGTCGCCACAGGGTCACCAGTCGCCTGATGTCGCCTTGGGCGTCATGTGCAGTGGGGACGCCCAAGGGCTCTGGCATCTAGTTCCTGCCGCAAGACGGGCTTGCGCACCCGCTGCGTTTCCAGGGCGTGATCATTGTTGCCCAGTCATCCTCGTCGTCCTTATAACCTGTCGATGTGCTGCTGCCGTTGGTCAAGTGTTTATTGTGGATCAGGGGGTGTAGTGGGGTGCCTAGGTGCGAGTCCAGCCGCGCAATCCATCGGCGCCCTCCCTCAACTCCAGTCTACTCGGCTATGAGTTAACACCGGGCAAAAATGGGGAGAGGGAGGGAGTTTTGTAGACGCTGCGCAAGTCTCTGTTCACATTAACTGATTCATGCGCAATACACTGTGCCTGTTGTACCTTGTTGTAGAGCACACGTCGGTCACAACAGTCGAACTTCTATCATCTCTGTTTCCAACGTACTAGTGGTAAAAATAATAAATAACCTCAGTGACATCGGTGAAAGAACTGCTTGCATGTTCTCACTCCGAGGGCCAATTGTGCAGACCAGTAAACAGTGTGGCAATGAACTGTGCAATGATTTACCGTACTAGCAACACAGGTATTAGCTAAAAGCGCAGAAACGCGTGTTTCGCCGATCTTATGCCGCTGCCTGATCAGCTGCGAGGAATTCGGCTCGTCAACGGGTTCCCCAGCATTTCCCCGTGTGTTTTCTGGTATATGAACTCCAGTTTCAACTTGCCTTGGCTGAAAAGGCCCGTTTCGAAAGATTTACTCCAAGTTCGCGCATTAATTTCCTCGGAAATTAAACAAGGCAAGTAGAAACTGCAGTTCATATACCAGAAAACAGACGGGGAAATGCTGGGGGACCCACTGACGAGCTGAGCCCCTCGCAGCTGCGTCAGGCAGCGGCATAAGATCGCCAAAACACACGTGTCTGGGCTTTTAGCTAATACCTGTATTGTTAGTACGGTAAATCATTTCACAGTTCTATACTACTGGCTGCCTGTTGGTGGTTTGTGAATATTAAACGGTTATTCCGCAGTAGCTGATGGATTTCAGCTCAAATATTCATATCAAACTTTGGACCGTGCCTAAAAGGGCCTTTTTCGAAAGATTAACTCCAAGTTCGCGAATTAATTTCCTCGAAAATTAAACAAGGCAAGTGTGGCAATGAGCTCACTAATTAGACCTTTTCTTTCAAATATTTTTATGGACAAAATTGAGAAAAAAACTTGTGGATTGTCAATGTGACCTCGGCTATATATGGTGGTATGTATTGCTAAGAAAGTTTGGAAATTCTCAGCATGTACTAGCGTTGACTTTTTCGCAAAGACAGCGTGCACATTGATTGCTAAATGCAATTGGACCGACTCTTCTGCATGGTATTGTCTGTTAATATGTCAATTTTATGAGAGTACACTCTCATCTTCTTCATCGATCCAATCAGAGACACGACCAGATTAGGCCACAGTCCGTTTGTGCCTACCGACAGTATGTCTTTGCTAGACCTGCGAAGCATGTACATGTGTGTATGTTGTGTGATGGAACTAAATACGGATTTTAAGTTTCATCTGAAACTGTCAATACTGACGGTGTGCTGTTAAGGACCCCTTTTTTAAGGCCAATTTGTCATATTTGCAGAAGTACTAACAAACCTTATGTACGTAATGCTTCCTTTCGAAAACATTTCAAAGGTGTTGCTGTCGAAATGACCAAAAAACGGAGTCCATGCTTACATACAGTAGATTGGCTAACTCATGAAATGTCAACATAAATTCTGAAATGTGTTTTCGTTCCAAAAATATTACTTAAGTATGGTTGTAAAAAAGATGACCGAGCGGCGTCAATCTATACTAATTCGGTTACCTCAGAATGCCTGATATCGAAACAATTACTTTTCGGCTGCATACCAAAAAGGTCTTCCTTAGAGGTGGCATGCATATTTCTCATTAATTGTGATGCCCTCAAAAATTTAATAAAATTTCATAGAAAACATGCAAACAAATATTCATTCTGCTGCTTATTCGGTAGGAAATTACGTCCTCCTTCAATCTTACACTCCAAAAAGGGGTATAATTCGGTTTTCAGCAATCTTGCGAATTCCAAAATAATTTTTATTAATATCTGCAGTTACACTTTCATTCAGGGTTTGCAAACTACAGGCAGCGCATTTACTGCATACGGGAAAATCATACATTTTTCTACAGTATTAAGAGGAGACCATATGGGGTCCATGAAATATAGCAGTGGATTTGAGCCATGCTGCTAAGTTTACAAGCCACATTGGTAAATGCAAAGACATGGCGCTTCATGAACGGCCATCTCATGGTATTAAAAAAATCTCAAAATTAGAAAAAATTTTAAAACAAAACTGCATCCGTTGTTCGAGTATAAAATTGAAATATTACCTAATTTCTTACCGAATAGGCAGCAGAATAAATGTTTGTACGCATGTTATCTATAAAATTTCATTCAGTTGTTACGGGCATCGAACAATGCATGCCACTTATGTAGTCATTTAATCCAGCATATCCTTCTTGCATCCAGCCAAAAAACTATTTCCATAGCCAGCATCGTAATTTAAATAGATTATTAAATTATGCTGTAGGCTGGCTTGGTTTACAACACTACTTAATTAATCTTTTCAAAACGAAAACGCATTTTGGAATTTCGGTTGACATTTCATGCGTTAGCCCACCTACTGTATCAGGACAGAGACGGCCTTTGAGCAGGCTGTAAAACAGGGTACAGATAGCTGAGCAAGCAGGCGTAGCCAGTCGTCTCTTTTTTTTAAACGTGTCTGTGTACGTCGTCCGTTTGGTTTCTTAGTCGCTAGCTCGTGTGTCGCCGTTCTACGCTGCTCTCGGCAGCAGCCAAGCACAAAGGAGGCAGCGTTGATTGGATGGTGCGAAGTCTTAGCTGGATCCAGCAGCGAGTTGAAGGGAAGCGTGAGACGGACAGCAAACAGTCACGCCTGCAACTACGCCGGACGAGTGCCACATTACGAAGCATACTACACACGTGAAAATATGTCCGAACTCAACTCACCTGGAAATCTCACTACAGAAAAAAAAGAATGGCATGTCTTCGGTACATCTTATCTATTGCTCCTACGATTTAGGCGATAGTATGGCGAAGGACACCACTTAAATGTCGGCAAATGCGGATCGTGTCATGTGGGATTTTACCTTGGCATCCAGTTGCGGGCCGTTGCAAGCATTTCACTGTCAACAACAAAAACTGTCCATAACCTTCAACTATTGTTTAAACTTCGTTATTTTTGAAATTTTGTTTTCTGTTCATTTTTTTAATGACGCTATTATCTCCGTTGCCATATGAAAGCGTACAACGAGCCCTTCGGCAGAATCTAAAGGATCTCTCTGTTTACTTACTTTTGCCAATTTATTGCCCGGTGTACTGTTGCACTCGTAAAACCCTCACTCCCACTGTTCCCGTATAACACGATCTGAAGCCTACTGAAATGTAAGAGGAGTCCACCAACCTACCGTTGCCATGCTTTATAATTCTCAATGTGATAAAGCAGTCTGTCTGTATAAAATGACACTACCGAGCTTTAAGATTAAAATGCATTAGTTTGAATATGTCTGCGATAACGAGTCGATGGTAGTTATTAGGCTGCCTACATATATTCAGTAGGATATTTGACTCATGAAACACTGGCCACATTTCTGTAGCATGATATTGCTTGGAGATGACTGATTTTTAAGTTTATGACGATGTATCATGCACAATAATTGTCCGATGTTTGATCATTTATAAGGCGGCATGTGTGGATGGTTGTTAGCTAAGTATCAAAAAATATAATATCTACTTAAGGCTGTGCATCCTGTCTCACATGATAAAATTAAAACGATCTATTGCGGGATTAAGTTGCAGTTAGAAAGTCAGGTGATATCATGTTAAAAGTTTACTATCATTATCATGTTGCCTAGTTAAATTTGTTTCACAGATAACAGTTAATTTTATAAATTACCCAAATAGTATCTTAAGCAATTTTAGGCAGACGTTCGGAGCTTTTCCTGCCGGCTGCTATGACTCAAGACGGAAATATCCATTACTGTCAGGGCGTCCGTATACGCCAAATCCAATTCCGATGAACGTGGAGTATACTATTTTGCTTCGCGTGGCAATAATCTTACGTAGTTTCTTAAATTGAAATACGCTCAGTGACCACTTTCCTGAAGTGCTAGTCGAACTTTTTAAATGCGTTTCTGATTGGGAAGAAGTAATTAAATAGAAAAGTAATAACGCTTATTTTGTGACATAGTGTCACCGTATTTCAGATACGTCCGGATGTTGACATTCTAATGAACTTCTTGTTGACTGCTTGCAGAAACCGAGTTTGGAGAACAATAAACACTTAAAATCATGCTTGTGCCCCACGGAATTTTTTTGGTACCCTTTTCCATTTAAATAAAGTATACAACAAAGGAGTTTAAAAAAGTATTTCGTTGGTATAAAATTATGTCTAGTTCAAATAGTATACTTGAAGTGTGAGTAGCTTTAGAGATTGTAATCTTTCTTTGTTTTTCGAATAATTTTAAACGTGTTGGATTTTTCTTTCTATGTGAACAACAGCATAAATTACTTAGGTTAATAGACAAATAATGCATGAGACATAAAAAATGTTGCATTGAATGTGATATATATTGTATACTTAATGGGAAGCACCACTAGACAGACGGATAAGATGTGATTTAAGATCTCTTAAGTAAAAGCTGTTAAAACCGAATAGATATCTTTTCTTTGAGTATATCTTTTAAGGAAGCTGTGAGTTTCTACTAAAGGAACACGGAAAATTTCGCTGTACGTGACTTCGGAAAATAAATGCCTTTGAATGCCAGTATTCTGGCGTATCTAAATTATTGTGGAATCTTCGTCCCAAAGCAGACAATATTATAATCTACTAAAAGTAATACGTTCCAATCAGAAATTCATTTCGAAACTTCGGTAAAGTTTCCCTGCTATCGGTCGCAAATGTAACTCAAAACGAATTCTTCTGACGTCTAGAAACTTGTGAGCCGTAGTCTTAGCTTTAATTACTGCCCTAGCTTAGCTGTGCTTCTAGGCAACAATCAGTGTCCAAACGTGACGAATTTTTTTTTGGAAAACTCTTTGAATGGATTGCCCTCACTACTGTTTGGCAAAGGATCGATTATGAATAATTGGGGTGGAATATGAGTGGACCGTCTGTCAGCAGCAAAAAATTTTGATTGTGTTCTATTACGCATCCTAATTGAAACCCGCTTAATTTTACTTCAATGCCTGGTTGGGTTTCCGCAACCCTTTGTGCATTTGAATAAAATGGCTTCATATTTTCATTTCAAAATGCAATCAACACTGGTTAAATATAAAACTTCTTTTTAAATGCGACACACTTTTCAATAATAATTTACTTCATTGCTGTTGTAGCCCTTCATAAAGAGTCTTCCCTCTGTGTATTTGTCGTAAGGCATCTTATCTGCATCTCATGGTTTTGAAGGGGCACCGAATTTACAGTGTGTTTAGTGCTTCGTACCGGCAATAGCGACACGTAACCACTGCTGCGAAAGTACGCAACAAATTAGTATTTGTTATACGGATCTGACATTTCAAGATATATCACAAATTTTACATCAATCAAGTCCACCTACTTTTTGTCACAAAACTGCACGATTGAGCAAAATAACCATCTCGAGCTTGCATTTCTTCGCATACACTGCCATCTACGAACAGACAACAATGTACAGAACCGCAGATTGAGTGCAAATATGCGTTTTTGTGCTCTGCAAACTGAATCAGTACGCTTTTACTAAGCAGAACTGTTACTAGCTTACGCCTTCTTAGTGTTTAAATTTAACCATTTTGTGCATGAATCCCAGAGTACCATTTTCAATTTGGTGATATCATTAAAAATCAGAGGGAGTAATTTACACTCGTCAAGCTGTTATGCCCTCTGAGCTGCATTTAGAAGACCGAATTCTGTCTTGCGATTATGTTCCACATAAATCAGTGTTGCAACCTCATTTATTTAATCCCTCCTCAACGCCGTCACAGTCCAGAATGTCGGCCAAAGTGTTATGGCATTTTTCACTGACTGTAGTAAGGCAAATTAGAATAAACACATGGTACAGTTGATTCAACGGGCGTTAGTAAATGCCAGGCACGTACTAAAAGGATGAGGACTGCATTTTGGCTGAAAAAGTCATTAACTTTAGGTCAAGCCGATCCATGCTAAGCATATATTTCTAAATAGTTGTGTAAATAAGAACTCACTAGCAGTCAGCAGTTCTTTACCTCACACCTGACAAACGTCTGATAGAAATGTCATGTCCTGTTTTAGGCGTAACCAGTGTCCCAAAAATAGTTGGCAAGTTTTGACCTGAATATCTGGTATTTCCACAGACTCAGCTGGGGGCAATTCTGCAAAAGTTAACAAGATGGGCAGATTTACTCACCCCATAATCACAATGACCTTCACGGTGAGCTCAGTGTAATAAAATTCCATGCCAGACCTGTCGCTATAGCAGTTAGACCGATGACCCGACTCAGAAGGCGTCAGGCTTTTTAGAGTGGGCTACTTCACTCAGAAAGTAAGCACAAAGGCGCAGTTTCACAACAGCAGCAGACGGAGTGTTGTATATGCAAAAGAACAAGCATAATATTCGATGACTATAATCATACTTAACACACGTCATGCGCTATGTTTCAGCAGTTATGCAAAACGTACATTCGTCAAAATTAATACCAGTTCGGAAAAAGTGTGCCATTGAAAATAAAGCTATATTACTATACATAGATAATTCACGTACGTTTTGCTGGACAGTCATGTCAAACACGAAGATCACTTTTAAACACGTATCACTGACGATTGTCTTGAAGAAGGAGATACGATCGCCGGGACAAGAGCTCTATTAGCCTGACGTTTCGGATTCCTTCTCGAATCCATCATCAGAGACAAAAAAGGAGAAACGGGTGGTTGCTGCACAAGGGGCTGCGGTATTTATAGGATGCAGTAGTCATGCTACCGCATACATATGAACTTTCACGGCTCCCCCCTTCATCCGAGATCGTCGCAAGTGGTGTGATCACTGCTTGATGGCCGACATTCGAGTCGATAATTGCTGCAATTTCATCATGTGCGTTGGATGTTGGCCTGATGATTGCTCGACCATCTGACGCGCCGACCCCGGTGTTGGGAAAAGTGTTCCCGTCTGCGCTCCCCGCATGGCTTGTTACTACGCCTAGGCGAAATTTTAGCACGCAGTATGGAGTGGGAAGATCGTTGCACTTGTTAATAGACTGGGGGCCAGTAAACCATGATTCCAGTAGCTCCCGGCTCACGCGGTTGTCAACTCTTGCGAGAATTTCGGCCTCATCGAATTTGAATGTGTGGCCGGATCACGTCGAATGAGCCGCAACTTGAGAGCTGGCGTCATTTCTGCGCACCGCTGCCGCGTGTTCGGCAATTCTTGTTGGGCGCTGTCTTCCGGTTTCTCCGACTTAGTTGCTTTGGTTGCAACTGCACCAGATCCGATAAACGACTTCAGACGTTTCTAGCAGTGGCAGTGGGTCTTTCGGTTTCATGATCAGACGCCTGATGGTTGTCTCCGGTCTGTGAGCCACTCCAACCCCAAGTGGTGTGAGAAGGCGGCCGACAGCTTCCCAAACGTTCTTAAAATACGGAAGTGCTTGCCAAGATTTGGTGTCCGTGCGGTTAGGCCTTTCGTCCCTTTTGCGTATGCACCGGTCGACGAAGTTGCGCGGGTAGCCATTGGCTTTGAAGACCCGTCGGAGGTATTGTAGTTCAGCAATTTTGTCGTCCGGCTCACTGCAGCGCGTTTCGACATGCGAATAAAGCGTCCTTACACAATAGATTTTGTGGCTGATTGGGTGGTTACAGTTGAAGTTCGGTACTTGCATCGTATTTGTCGCTTTCCTGGACACTTTGATTTTTAGTTGACCACAATCTTTTGCGGCATACGAGGACATCCAGGAAGGCCAGTTGGTTGTTCTTTTCCTCCTCCATCGTAAATTAAATGTCCAGAAGACGACGTTGAGATATTCTTGGAATGTCACCACCTGATCCCGTTCGATGACGACGACGGTATCATCCGCATACCGGGCTCAGAATTTCGGTCTGTGGTGTTGGAAGACCAGCGACTCTTACCGTTGCAGGACCGCCTCGGTGATGAATCCCGAAATCGGCGAACCCATTGGTGTGACCTTCACCTGTTCGTAGATTGTTCGTCGAACGTGAAGTACGTCCTGAGACAGAGCTTAAGGAGCTGAAGGATTTGGGCGTGCCCAAGACGGTTATCTGTTTCATCGTATTTTCTTCGTAGTAGCAGCTCAATTGTCTCGATCGCCAGGTCCTGGGGAATAGAAGTAAAAATGGATGTAACATCGAAAGATATCATGACCTCATTTGGATGGATACCTACCCCTTTGTGTTTCTCCAGGAATTGTGCTGACGAAGAGACCGTGGTGTCTGACTCAGCGGTTAGGATCTTGAGACGCCGGAACAGCCACTTAGCCAGTCCGTATGTTGGAGTCCCTTTGAGCGACACAATGGGTCGGAGAGGAGCGCCGTCTTTGTGCACCTTAGGTAGGCCATAGAATCGGACCAAAGCCGTATCTTGGGGTTTCGCCATGCGTCTGTCGGTCGGTGTTATTGCACCTGAGTTCTCCAAGGCCAACAACGTAGCATTAATTTCGCGTGTCAGCGCCTTTAAAGGGTTCGTTGCACATGGAACATAGAACTGTCGGTCTTCCAGTAAACCTTTGGCTTTTTGAAAGTAGTCTGTCCTGTCCAGTACCTTGTGCAGCAACCACCCGTTTCTGCTTTTTTGTCTCTGATGATGGATTCGAGAAGGAATCCGAAACGTCTGGCTAATAAAGCTCTTGTCCCGGCGATCGTGCCTCCTTCTTTAAGACTACTTCCTGGGACTCGTCTCTGCGCTTTTATTGGCACTGACGATTGTGTATGTGAATCACGCGGGGATGCAATTAGTCCGCAAATCTATTTTCAAAATAACACGAAATTCATTATGGTACTCACATACGGGATTGTCTCCTTTGCTCTCCCAGGATGTTTTTTTCAGTCGCCTTGGTGACTGTTTCAAGCATTTGTGTATTTCTGTCGTCATAACTGCCATAAAGACACAGTAAGATTTCAATGACTGTTGTGGTCCGGTAACTGGCCCAGTTAACTTCAACTGAATTATGCATGATATCTATTAGCAAAACTGGAGTGTGAAACAAAACAGTGGTCTGCCTCAAGTTGCCCAGGTTAATAAGATGCCCAGTTTCCTTCACTGCTGTACGCGGTCATGCCTGTGTCGTATACCGCACCTTGTCATCGGACGCACGATGTCCATGAGCACAGATAGCACACTCACGGTACTGGACTTGCTGTCAACTAAAACCGCGACGGTTTCAGACATGCTAGCCCATGTCTTAATATTTTACACCAGCGAAACCTGGAATTGAAAATCGTTTATGAGGATTCTGCTAAAAAATCAAATTATCCGGTAAGTATCCTGACTACCACAAAGACCGGGGATTTAATCGTGTCCAATTACGATTCCACTACGGGTTTATGCGCGCGAAACGTGAAGGGTGCTGATATTATCCGGCAAGAAGTTTAAAAGAAATTAATCATGTTAATATGCTCTCCCTTATGTGCGTGCACCACATACAATTTTTGAGCCCCTACTGTTGCCTATTCAAATTCTAATGAATGTTTAGCGGCATAAAATGCTTGAGCTTTCGTGTAGTATTCTTTTCATCGTGATAACGGTCATTTCTCAAATACAGAAAAAAAGTCATGCGTTTAAAGTATCCGTCGGGTACAGACCGCGTTTGTTTACTTTGACCGGGAGCAGGGCCCAGTCTAGAAACAATTGAACATTGGTTGATAACCGAAAAAACTGCGCACGTCAATGTCTTTGAAATGATTTTGAAAATACGGTGGATATCTGGTCGTTGTTAATCCGCCCCCTCTCCTTTATGATCACATAACTCTCTGAGGTGGCACAAATCCCCCTTACATAAAGTGCACCAGATGAATACCTAATGTGCGGGTCCATTGAAATGCCTCTCACGGCGTTTTCATCCGCTGATAGACTACTTGGCATAGCGATGCAGAATATTTACCTAAACAGTTATTTTCGAGGCAATAGACAACTTTCCTGCTTCTAGCCTTCAAAAAAATCCGATCACGCGAACTTTGACAAAAAGAATCCAGTAAACGAGCACAAAATACCCTCAAATAAAACTTCCCAAAATGGAAATCGACAAATTTAGAAGAATCAGGTCTCCTCTTAGTTGGCGACCTCATAAGCCACGGCTTTTAATGCACTCTTATAGGTTCAGGCGCGTCAGATTGTTTGTAGTGAGAAAAATGGACTGAGTCTACGAGCCCACTTTCTGTTTACATGCCCAGGCTCCGCCTACTATCTACGCCGGCCAGTTTTCTGGTAGAAGGAATGGGCGTAGTAGCTGACATATCTAGTGACCACATCTACGTGCGCCATGTAAACAACCGGTCCCTAAAACAAGAGAATCAGGATATCAAAAATTAGATGGTTTGGTGATTCACATTTCACACGCATAATAATGCCAGAGATGACGCCAAGGCATGAAAGAGCATTTTTCCCACGGTCTGCCACCACACAAACACATATAACTGGGCAGGCTGCGTGTACTGAGTTGGGACTTCAAACAGCAACCATGCGGGCCACGTCACTTGGAGTACTGCGATAGTTCCGGGCTCCAGGAGCCACCTGGAGAATGTGTTGAGGAGCACACTTACCACTGACGTGAGCGTGCTATTGTTGTGTGGTGTCGGGTGATGTTGGTGTGTGTATCGGAATGGGGGGGTGGTGAGATGCGCGGTGTATTATGGCCGGTGGCCGTCTACCGCAGGTTTTGTTGGATGCGTATGTGGCCAATGCTGTGGCTGCACGTGTGCGAACAATGCGAGCGGCTGAGCCAAGTGCTTCTGGTGTATGTTGGGGCTCCAGCAAGTTGTCCGTAAGTCTCTGTGCGATGGATTCACACGCAACTGATGAGATAGATATGCATGGAATTTACAGATGCAGTTTAGGCAAAGTAGCAAGGGAGGGTTCGAGACGGTTTAAGTCGACGGGGAATGAGCTGCTGGCTTTGGGCACGCTGGGTAATGGGCTGCTGATTGGACTAAGTCTGACGTTTTCAGTTGGTCATAAGTCACCTGGTTGAGTGGTGCAGAGCATTTAACTAAATTGTGAATTTCGCAGACAATTTACAACTTTACTGGTTTTACCAGTCAAAAATCGATGCCGCAAAAGTTAACAAGGAGAGTTCACTAGAAGAGCACAAAGTGCCCTCAATAACAAGGAAGGTACATTACTAGAACGCAAAATACCTTCAGATAAAAACTTATCAAAACGACGATCGCCGAATTTAAGACAGAACGGAGAAGTATAATCTATACACTACTGCTGAGGATCAAGGAAAACAGCTCAAACTGCTTGCAAATAAAAACTGTACAGGACCAATGGTCACAGAGATTCAAATAGAACGAGGAAGTAGGATTCGTGCAAAGAAAGTCCTCCGAATGCTAGGTCATTAGTGCGATCGATATAATTGGGCAGGTCTAAAAATGCGCGTCGTCTGTTAAATCTGTAATACGCAAACATGAATTCATAAGTTACCGATGGAGGGGATTAAAAATGCCATATTTTCCTGGTGATAATCTTCGGCATGATTGCAATAGGTAGAATCCGTTTAGCTTTTCTAACCATGTACCTTAGAATATTTACGTAACGAATGAGCGAATACAAACTATAATTACATGATATTGCATTTGATTTCAAGTGCTTGGTTCAGTTCCGTTTTGCGAACCATGAGTGGACTTATTTGCCCGCAGTTGATTTAGGTCAAAATTTTAGTCATTATGGGTAAGCAAATGTTACAGGGAACGAACTGAAGAACAATGTGTGCATCGCAATTGAGTATTCATTTAAAATCAGTGACAAGGTTACGGAGGAAATGTGCAATCACCTTGTATGTTAATTGGTCCGGCCACATTGGAACGCCCTCAACGCCAGGAATGATGACACCGTCACATTCTGTTAACTGAGACCTTTGTGCCTTCAGGCCGTGGACATTCAGTCGTCGGTGTCGAGAAAATTAAAAACGATTACTTCACTTCTCAAGTTCAGTTTCATTCGATGCTTCGTGGTGAAACACATTTTGCCATTCGCGCCATCCCTTTCAGTCATTTCAATATTCGTGCACGTTCTCATTTATCTCGATAGCCGACTGAATCAACCCAGAAATCCATCACTGCCCCTTCGTCAGTGGCAGAACAATTTTCATGCGGTCACTTCAACGGCCAGTGTGATATGTTTATGCCGATCTATTTTGCTTTATGGTAAGCATAAATGTAAGCAAAACGTCAAAACGCTTTGCTAGTTTTATCGATAATTTTCATTTCATTCGAAGCGTTATTAGTATGCACATATGTATAATTGACAACGGCGACGTGTCCCTATTCACCACACTAAAAACAATTTGCAATTTAAGTGTTCCATTCTTCCAGAGATATTTTCTAAATTACCAATCGCCAACCGAAATCTTACTCGCAATGCGCACCAGTGGCTTATGATAGGCCTTTCCAGCGGTTGGCTATCGTATTCTTTTTTGGGTGCCATAAAAGACCAGAATGCAGACTTCAGTATGGGGCTCAATGCTGACCTTTCTCAAACCACGGAAAATCGCGTTGAGGGATGTAAATGCTTCAGCAGTTGTAAGATGTAATGCTCGTATAGCCATACTCTTCGGCCTCCTTCTCTTCACCCGCTTTTCAGTGACAGTCGCCAGCAGCCGCGATGCGTCAAATTCACTCCACTACGAGAAGGACAACATTGACATTAAAATTTATTCGGCGGCATTACTGGCTGGAAGACCAGCAGGTGGTCAGCGTGCTGAAGTTAGAGATATTTGCCTGGACTTGGTTGCGGGAGACATTAATCCGGAACTTGACATTACGGAAGGGAACATATATTCTGACATCCCCTTCCTCAGTATCTCCAATGCCGGTGAGTTTCGTATTGTTGACAGGAATCGTGTACTGTGGCTTTTAGTTTCCACAGAAATTAACGGCGTTCATGCAGTAGATCAGTATATTCTAGATCTGTAGGCTTAGTCCGAGGTTCTTATGCAGAATAGGTGAGCTCACGGATGAAATTTCAATTAAGATTCCGAAATAGGATTTCCTTTGAAAAATATCAATTAGGAAAGGTTGCAGAACTAATCATTGGGCAGCAAAATTCAGTCACCTTGAAATGTCGGCTTTTGAACGAAATTCTGTAAAAAATGAATATTGATAAAGCATGACTTTTTCTCATTTATTTTCAACGTCCTTCAAAATAAATTTATAGTGTGTGGAAAGCAAACAGAAAACTATTCATTGTATTGCACGTTCGGTAGAGAATTGCCTCCTCTTCGTAGTTTATATGCGAAAAGTCCAAAATTATGTTTTCAATAAGTTTTCTAATTTCTAAATTGTTTTGAACCCCGATCCGCCGTCACTATTGCATTCGGCGTCTTCAACCTACAAGCCGTCTTCTTTTTGTTTACGGAAACCCATACATTTCTGCACGTT